ACTGATCCGAAGCCAGGAGTCAGGTGCTTCTCCTGGTCTCCCATGGGGTGCAGGGCCCAAGCACCTGGGCCATCCTCCACTGCCTTCCCAGGCCACAGCAGAGAGCTGGCCTGGAAGAGGAGCAACCAGGACAGAATACGGTGCCAAGACCAGGACTAGAACCTGGGGTGCCAGCGCCACAGGCGGAGGATTAGCCTAGTAAACCATGGCACTGGCCAAAACCAATGATTTTTTAAAAAGAGAGAAAAGTATATTATAGGGAGAGGTTATGAGCAACAGCACTGAGGTTGCCCACATAGGCTGGCCAGCAGTCAAGGTCATTAACTTCTTGCTTTCAAGGTGAATAGTTGCTATTCTTTCTTCCCCTTTGAGGGCATGGCTCTCCTTAGAGAATATGCTCACATTCATTCTCTATGTGGCTGTGCACTCTGAAATTCTCCTGGCCTTCACTCTGTGCCAACACAAGCATTGCTGGCTCCATTTTCCCATCCCTGCACCATGTTTTTAATGTTGCTTTGGGTGCCGGAGATCCATTCAACACACACTCTTGTAATAAGAGCACAGAGCACAGATTTGGCAAAAGTCCTGTGGGTGATCAGACAGCAGCACAGCCGCCTACCGTCCCCCGCACACAATGACCTTCCAGCCCATCCGGAACTTTGCTGGCGTCTTGAGACACACACAGCTTTAACTCTTTCAGGCCTCCTGAGACTGCACAGCCAAAGGCATCAGGCTGAATGGAAAAGAAACAAATGGTTGCTGACATCTTAAAAATTATATATTAAGCCAGTGGCCAAGTTCTAGAATTTTCAGATCCAAAAGGGGCGTGAAGTGTTGTTTATTGAACACAAATTGAAACAACAAACACACAGTGGGGCCGGGGTGGCAGCCTTTGGCCCAGTGGTTGGAAGCCCCTGACCTGTATCACGAGTGCCTGGGTTCAGGTCCCTGCTCGGCTCGCAGGCCCAGCCTCCTGCTCAGGCGCACTCCGGGAGGTAGTGGTGCTGGCTGCAGTGACTGACCCTGCCACTCAGGGGGGAAACCTGGGGTTGGGTCTCCTGGCCCAGCCCCAGCTGGCATTTGGGGAGTGGACCGGGATAGGAGAGCACATTTTGTCACACTCTTTGTCTATCTTCCTTGTCCGTTCCCCCCCTCCCCCCCGCCCCACACACCATGTGTCTGCCTTTCAAATAAATAAATACAAATTACAAATGACAAAAACAGTGGGGACAGTTTTGAATATGCCCTCCATTAGCCAAAGTAAAGCATGTGCTTGTTTTTCTAGGTTGGATTTAGTGTATCATTGTTGACAAATTTTTCTTTTTAAGATTTATTTGCAATTCAGAGTTACAGAGAAAGAGAGAGAGATCTTCCATCCACCAGTTAACTCCACATATGGCCACAACAGCCAGGGCTGGGCCAGGCCAGAGCTGGGAGCCAGAAGTTTTATCAGGGTTTCCTAAGTGGGTGCAGGGGCCCAAGCACTTGGGCCATCTTTACTGCTTTCCCAGGCCATAGCAGAGAGCTGGATTGCAAGTGGAGCAGCCGGGACTTGAACCAGCACCCATATGGGATGTCAGCACTGCAAGCAGCAGCTTTACCTGCTACGGCCACAGCATCAGCCCCTAAAGAAATCTTTAAAAAAAAAAAAAAAATAGGATGTGATAATTTATTTGAAAGGCAGTGTTACAGAGAGAGGGGGAGAGACCCTTCTGTCTGCTGGTTCACTCCCCAGATGGCCACAACAGCCAGGTCTGGGCCAGGCCGAAGCCTGGAGCCAGGAGCTTCTTCCAGGTCTCTTTAGTGGGTGAAGGGGCCCGAGCACTTGGGCCATCTTCTACTGTTTTCCCAGGCACATTAGCAGGGAGCTGGATCAGAAGTGGAGCAGCTGGGACTCAAACCGGTGCTCACATGGGATGCAGGAGTCACAAGCAGCAGCTTAACCCACTGTACCACAACGCCTGCCCCTTCTCTTGGTCTTCCAGCAAGGGATTAATATCCCACTCTTGTCTATTGTGTTGTAAAGACTACAGAAAGAAGGAATGATACCCTGCTTTCCCCAGTACCACATCTGTATCAGGGTTCTCCAGAGACAGGCTAATGGCATATGCATGTAGATATAAGGGTGCTTCCAAAATGGAATTATAAGTTTTATTTTGGTGCAAAAAAACTGTGAAATCTATATGACCAGACAGTCTTCAAAAAGCTCACAGAACTTTTAAGTTAACTTTTAAGTTAAGTTGCCCTTTGGGGCCTACATCCTCTATCAGAGCGAGCGCTGGTTCAAGTCCCTGCTCGTCCACTTCTGATCCAGCTTCCTGCTTATACCAGGAATGCAGTGGATGATAGTTCAAATGCTTGGGCCCCTACCTAACTCACGTGGGGCACCCTGGTGCAGTTCTGGGCTCCTGGCTTTGCCCTGCTCCAGCCTGTCTTTAAGAGCATTTGCAAGGAACTGAACCAACAGATGGAAGATCTCTCTGTCACTTTGCCTTTGAAGTAGCTGAAAATAAATAAAACATTTTTTCTTCCAAAGTTCATGTGGAAAAAAGAAATCTGCATGATTTCAAAAAGTTTTTGCACAAAGTGCGTAAGTTTAGATTTTTTTTTTTAAGATTTATTTATTTGAAAGGCAGAGGCAGAGAGAGGTCTTGCATTCGATGGTTCACTCCCCAGATGGCTGCAATGGCCAGAGCTGGGCTGATCCGAAGGAGCCAGGAGCTTCCTCTGGGTCTCCCATGCCAGTCCAGGGGCCCAAGCACTTGGGCCATCTTCTACAGCTTTCCCACGCCACAGCAGAGAGCTGGGTGGGAAGTGGAGCAGCCGGGACTCAAACTGGCACCCATATGGGATGCCAGTACAGCAGGCGGCACCTTTACCCGCTATGCCACAGTGTTGGGTCCATAAGTTTAGTTTTTCACGAACTTTTGGAAAGACCCTCGTGTATAAAGAGGGGTTTATTAGGGGAATTGGCTTAAGTATTTATAGAGGCTGAGACAGGTCATGTGCAACCTGGATATCCCAGGCCCCAGGTGGCATCACTCAGTCAAGTCCAACCAGGGGACTTAAGTAGGAAGCAGAAAGACGGGGGACCTGGGGTGGGGGACAGGGGCTCTGATTTATGCCCTGGAGTCCAGAGGCCAGCGAACCTGGGGCTCTAATGTCCAGGGCAGTAAGAGGAAACTCGCCCCAGCTCTCAGGGAGGGGCAGCCTGCCTCCCACAGTTGTCCGCTCTGGCCCCCTCCCCAACACTGGATGACCCTGACCTTCCCCACATTTCCTGCAGGGACGTCCACTGTGAATGCTTCACCAGGTGTCCCAGGTGCGCATGCCACCATCCTCACTAATGGCCCCCTGGAATTCTGCTTTCTTCTTCTCAGAGAAGTGGGATTTAGAACATTCCAGGAGGCCCATCTTTGCAGGATCGTGATTGGGGGGGGGGGGGTTCTACTTCAGAGGTTTTGATCTTTTGGAGATTTCTGCATTCAAGTATCACAAGCATTTGAGACTGTCTTCAGAATTAGGATCAGCAAGGGAACATCCATGCACCACCCCGCACACAAAAACCAAGCAGACTCGTTCCACAAATAGACCTCTCCCTGCTCCGTCTCCAGGCGCTCTTGGTAACTCTTTCATGCCCGTGCAGTTCTCTATGTTTAATAATTTTTTTTTTTTTTTTTTACATTTGCCCCTTCAAACCAGTAGCACCCCGGACGGGGGATGGGGGACAAACGTTGCCTGCGTTCCAAGTCTGGATCCCAAACTCTGGGCTCAGCGCTAAGGTGCTAAGGCAAATTAACAAGCCGAGCCTCAGCCACCCCTCCCCGACGGCCAGGCCTGCCAAGGGTCCAGATGCTGCCCGTCACGCCGCCGGGGCCCCGGGAACGCAGCCTGAGCCAGAGCCACAGATGGGAAGCAGGGGTTGCTTCCTCCTCCCTGGCCCGCGCGGGGCTGCAGACCCGGCGCTGGCGTCGCTGCCTCTTTGTCTCTGCTTCTCCTCGCGGACGGCTGCCTTTTGTGCCGCTGGCCCCGGGGCCCGGCTCTCTCCTCCTCTCTTTCCGGACGCCCATCCGCGTCTTATCTGCGCCCACATCTCTTTGTCTCCGGCGGCCACCCCTCTCCCCGCCGCCGCCTCCTGGGCCCCGACCGCGCCCGTTAGACGACCCCGCGAGTCCCGGGGACCCCGCGCCCCTCGGCCCGCGCCGGCCTCGGGCTCCCCGCCCCCTCCTCAACCCAGGGAAATATGCCCCGGCTAAGAAGCTTCAACTTGTATCCCGAGCCGCGGCGCCCCGCCCCGCCCCGTCTGGGGTCTCCGCCGCCCTTTGTCTGCCGCGGTCTCTTCCCCCACCCCTTTTCCCTGGGTCCGGCTTGGGCTCCCTCTTTCTTTGTCTCTCTCCGGCCGGGGCGGCTGGCGCTCCCGGTCAGCCCCCGGGAGCCGGCGCGGGTGGCCTGGGACGGGTCTCCGGCCCTCGCCGGCCAGCGGCGGCCCAGGAGGCACACGGTTAATACCACCGAGTCCGGGCCGCCGTCCCGCGGCTTAGAGCAGCCCCCTCGGCGGGCAGGCGGCGGCCCGCCGGCCACCGAGCTCCCGCCGGCGCGGGCGGCTCCTCCCAGGTCCTAGAGAGGCTCCGTGCGGCCCGGCGCTTCCGCTTCCCGTCCCGCCCCCCACCGCGGCGGCCACCCCCGGGGCGCCTGGGTCCGGGCCCGCTTCGGGTTTGGCGCGGAGCTCGCATCCCGGGGCCGCCGGCGGCTCGGGCACCCGCACCCGCGCGGAGAAGCTCCGGACGGCGCCGGGGTGGCTGCTGCCGAGGTGAGCGGGGGTGGCGGTGGGGGGCGGGCTGCGTGCCAGCGAGGGAGCGGCAGGTGCAGGGGCGGGCGGAGGGGGGGTCCCCGGGAGCCGCGCCCGGTGCCCGGGACGCGACGCTGGCCGGCGGCCGGGCCCCGCGGGCCGCACATGGCCTTGTGGCCGCTGGATCTGGTGTCTGTCTCCTTGCCCCCAGGGCGGCGAGCGGGCGATGGAGCGCGCCGAGGAGCCTTGGGACCCAGATCTCCGCGACCCGGAGGAGGAGGAGGAGGAGGAGCAGCAGCTGAGGGGCGCCCGCACAGGTGAGGGCCGCGGCCGCGCGCCACCTGGATGGGTCATGGCCGGGTGGGGCTCGAGTGCTGGGCCCTGCCTGGCAGGGACCCGCGAAAGGGAACTTGAGCTGGGCCGCCAGGGGAGGGGGGAGGCGGTAGAGCGCCGAGGGCGCAGCCCCCCATCCCCGGGCCCGGCCCCTGCTGTGTGCCGGGCCGCGAGGGGCACCTTCTCAAGGACTCGCTCCCCTCCCCCACTGCCGCCTCTGCCCGGCTGGAGGCCTCCTTCCCGTCCCTCAGCCCTTCTGTCTTCCATGGTGGACTCCGCAGGCAGATTGGTCTAGATGCAGATCTAAGCCTGGCTCTCCTCTAGAACCTTCTGTCTACTAATTAAAAGCCTCAGCCTAGTGTTCAGTTGCCAGTCTTGCAAGCTCAGGCGGGCCCAAGCGCCCTCTCCCATATTCCAGTTCTCCAGAATTTTCTCTTTGCTGGGAATGCCTGTCCCGGCCTCCTTACCGCCTATCGCTCTTGGGACGGTTCTGAACCCATGGTTAGAAGTTGTGAGGCTCCTCTCTCTCCTGCTGCCCACCACGCACCTTGGACGACTGCCAGTGTGAGTCCAAGTCCTCTCGAGTCTCCTCCGTGGTTGTACTAAATTACCCGATGGGCTGATGCCGGGGGGCTTCCGAAAGTTCAGGGAGAAACAAATGGAAATATAAGTTTATTTGGGTGCAAAAAAAACCACGTTGAAATCCATGCATAGTATTTTCTTTTCTTTTTAAGATTTGCTTATTTATTTGAAAGAGTTGCACAGAGAGACAGAAAAGGAGAAGCAGAGAGAGAGAGAAAGAGAGATCTTCCATCTGCTGGTTCACTCCCTAATTGGCCCCAATGGCCGGAGCTGCACTGATCCGAAGCCAGGAGCCAGCAGCTTCTTCCCGGTCTCCCACACGGGTGCAGGGGCCCAAGGACTTGGGCCATCTTCTACTGCTTTCCCAGGCCACAGCAGAGAGCTGGATTGGAAGTGGAGCAGCTGGGACTTGAACCGGCGCCCATATGGGATGCCAGCACTGCAGATGGCGGCTTTACTCACTACGCCACAGTGCTGGCCCCATGCATAGTGTTTTCTTTTTCTTTCTTTCTTTCTTTCTTTCTTTCTTTCTTTCTTTCTTTCTTTCTTTCTTTCTTTCTTTCTTTCTTTTTTTTTTTTTTTTTTTTTGACAGGCAGAGTGGACAGTGAGAGAGAGAGACAGAGAGAAAGGTCTTCTTTTGCCATTGGTTCACCCTCCAATGGCTGCTGTGGCCGGCACGCTGCGGCCAATGCACCACGCTGATCCGATGGCTGGAGCCAGGTGCTTCTCCTGGTCTCCCCTGGAGCGGGGTCTAAAAGCTAGTGGCTTAATCTCTTCATTAATTTGCTTATTAAATTGATTTGTGTTATATATAACTTTGACTTTTACTGTAGATTGGTTTCCATCTAGTCACCATCTGTTATTATCTCACTACCAGTTCTCATTGCTTCTTGAGCAGGCTATTGCAGTAGTAGTCTACTAGACTGTGCCTCCACAGAATCCACCACCTTCCTGTCCATTTCATAAACTCTCCTAAGAAATCTTTCCAAAGACTGGCTAGGTACATGTAGCTGTCCCTCACCTGAAGTAAAATGGAGTGGCTCCAAACTCATTAGCCCTTACAGGAATTTCCCCTAGTACCCTTCGTTTATTATGTGCTATAAGAAAATTGAATTACATCCTGAAGTGTCATTCTCTCTATGTATTCATTTATCTGTGCCTGAAGTTGTCAGCTTTGTTATTATTTACATGCAAGATTTTATAATTATCTATATTATACACAGTCCAGTGTGTGTGTGTGTGTGTATTTCTCTGGAACACATAGTAGCCACTAGATGTAAGTACTACTTGTTTTTCTTCTAAGACCTTTAAAATTTATCCCTTGTGTCAACAACACATTGTTG